ACAAATATATTCTTTATGTAAATTAAAGATTCCCTTTAGAGACAGGATATGATTGCTTTTACAGACATGTTTAACCTTTCTGAGGCAGCAGCTGATCTATGGTCAGACTAATGAAGAAGGTCAATATATTAATCTGGACTTCAGGTTAAAATGACACTGCAGACTCAACCAGAGTCAGGACGTTAGCCTAGCTTAGCATAAAGACTGTAAGCAGATAGCCTGGCTCTGTACAAAGTTAAAAAAAATATTACACCTCTTGAATCCACATTGGTTCCCTCCACAATGTAGATTTTGGATTATCACAGAAAATAAGATCTTCAGCAGGATAAGCTCCACATATTAACCCCACTTTATGATTTTTGAAGTAAAAAGCTAACGATAAAGGTACTACAGCAAGGTCACATGACTTCACGTCACCACCACTAAGCTAAAGGCAACTAATGTTGAGCGTGATGACGTCTAGTCGTAGAAAACATCAGATCTTATAACCAAAAACCATTTACTTCCAGATGGGGAAACAGGAAGTGCTAAATTGCTGACTCGTATTAGGGATTTTTTACTCATTCCCACATGATTGTTTGATCAATGTTTCCTTAAAGGTTTGGTATTTGAATCTTGAACAATAAAGTGTAAAAAAAAGTGTCTTTGGTCCCCAGCGCACTCAAGTGGTGAAGTGCCGCAAAATTACTTCAATACTTGACGAAACTGTTTTCGGATACACACTTTAAAGGTCACCTATTATGCAAAATCCTCTTCTTCATGTCTCTTCTACATCAACATGTATCCCCTCTGTGTAAAGGACGATTTTTTTTGGCTTGTGTAACCATTAGCCAATCAGCAACCAAGGTAACCCCCCCCCTTATCACCTGAATCTCCTCCTAGAGCTCCATTCTGTTCTTTTTAACCAAATATCTCTCAGAGGGGCGTGGGGAGGGGCTCCTTATTTTCATCTAAAGTAACAGACAGAGAATCAGCACTTTGGAAACAGGGCTGAAACAGAGGGGATTATGGGTAATGCTGCAATGATCTGTTTGGTGTTTGGAGCAAAACACTTCAGAGACAGGTTTATATATCTGAGACCTATAATATACTGAGGAAAAACAGTATAATAGGGGACCGTTAAGTTGTTTTTGTACTGTATTAACCCCTATTTAAATGTGACATTTTTGGAGATTTTGCAATTGAATCTCATTTTGTACAATAAAATTGATTTTAAAAAGTCTGTTTTGCCCACAGCGCCCTCATGTGGTTTGGTGCAGCAGCAGCACGTTGAACACGGTATCCCTTGACTCCCTCAACGATCCTTCTTTTATCTCCAGCCTCACCTCCTCCCCCCTCCTCAGCGGCAGGACCACCGCACCGGTGACGGGCCCCTCTGTGCCCCCCCCTCGTCGACGGAGGGGCATCGGCACCCCCCCGGCCCCCCCCCTCCTCAGCATCACTTGTGTGGGTCCAGGCCTCAGGTCCAGGGTGAGGGAGAACAGGTAGACCCCGCTCAGAGGAGCCGTGAAGACGCCGCTGTCAGAGTAAACCTGATCGCGGTTTAAGGACGTTTCAAACACGAGGACGCTGGAAACGCTGCGAGGAGATCCGGCCACGATCAGCAGGGAGGCCCCCGAGAGACTGGAGGGGCCCGGGGCCACAACTGGAGAGGAGACGGAGCCTGGTTTAAATTAAATACAACAAGAGAAACATTCAAGGAGTCAAGGCTTTTATCGTCATTTGTAGCCTAGCTACAGTGTAGTTATGACAATGAAAATCTGAGGTCACAGGCTCCTCCTCCAACAGTGCAACACAATAAAACAGATAAAAAATAGTGCAAGTAAATAAAATAAAATATGGTAAAAGTAAACAAACAATGACATAATACGAAAAAGTTGGAGAGGAGCCAAAGACACGGCAGCCATCGTCACCATCTTGCTACATAGATCTGATGCAAGAAATACTCATACTGACAGATCTTTATGGGAGAATACCTTCATTTTTTTATATTTATGACATTCAATATTAAGACTTTTGATACTGACTTTGTTTTACCGACTATATTATGATGTTATGTCTCCTCCTCTCACCTGAGTCCTCCCTCCTGCTCCTCTTGTGTCCTCCCCTCTTCCTCTCCTTCCTCCCCTGTTTCTCCTTCAGCAGATGCCACAGCTGGTCGAGCTGCAGCGATGCGTCGGAGCTCATCAACACATCAGCGTTACTGAACACGTTCTTGAAGACCTTCAGGTGCTCCTCCAGGCCTCTCCTCAGCCACTGCACCTCCGCCTGCAGTTTGGCCTCCACACCAGCGGGGGGCGCCTCCCTTTCCTCCTGCAGGCTGAGCAGCTTTAACCCCAGCTCTTCCACCCTCTGCTCCAGCTTCCACAGGTCTCCCCCGTCCCCCCCGGGCTGCAGGAGGAGCTGCTGACGCTCGCGTGCTGCAGATCCTGAGCTGCTGCTCCTCCTCATGTCAGCGAGGGGGTGTGAGGAGGATGAGGAGGATGAAGGCTGATCGGAAACCATTCCTGGGAGCAGAAGAGACAAATACATGAGTCCAAAGCTGCATCCGTGTTGCTTAACGTGCATCCACTTTTCCTTCACTTGTTTCCTTGCGTCTTAGTACCTCACACAGTGATACATGGAGAGACACAAGACAACCACGATAAGAGGGGAGATAAGGCGATGTGTTTTAAAGGTCCCCTATTATACTGTTTTTTTCAATATATTACAGGTCTCAGATATATACAGAACCTGTCTCTGATTGGCTCCAAACACCAAACAGATCATTGCAGCATTACCCATAATCCCCTCCGTTTCAGCCCTGTTTCCAAAGTGCTGATTCTCTGTCTGTTACTTTAGATGAAAATAAGGAGCCCCTCCCCACGCCCCTCTGAGAGATTTGGTAACAAAGAACTCAATGGTGCTCTAGGAGGAGATTCAGGTGATAAGGGGGGGGGGTTACCTTGGTTGCTGATTGGCTAATGGTTACACAAGACAAAAAAACGTGATGACATCATAAAGTGGCCAAAATCTGATCAGCTCATTTTCAGAAAGGTTTTTATAAAAATGGATCAGGACAAAAAGAGAGACAATCTTTGTTCCTGAAACTTTCAGAGTCTCTTTCCACAGAGGGGACACATGTTGATGNTCATTCTCTCAGTAAGTCTGTTTATCATCACCTCATTCGTCATGACTATGGTCTTTTACAGAACTCTTGTCATTCGTTTCATCGGATAAACCATGATGTAATGAAGGGTGGAGACGACGATATTGGACAAAGACTAAAACCTAATTTACGAAACAGAGCATAACAACACCCCACGACCTCCTGGCACCTCCCGGCGGAGCCCCCCGTATGTCGCGGTCCCACCGCGTTTTGTTCGTAGACCTCTGCCAGTAGTGGTCTGTCGAGCGCTGCCCGTCCAATCAAAGTAACTACCTGCCCCAGACCTCCACCTCCGCCGCGTTCTCTGGCCACGACGCCGCCCACCCCCTACCTCCCGTTGGGTCGGACGTCCCCCCGTTCGACGGTCCTCTTAAGCACCTGCACCTCATGGATAAGCTCCTTAATTGGTTGTCTTGCGGTGGCCCGACGCTACGGGTCCGACCTCCTGCGCTCACGCGGCGGCACGTCCTCCCCGCACCGATTACACTAGCTTCGACCGGTTACTCTGCTCCACGGGACCTCGTCCTCCTCCTCCTCCTCCCACTACCCCGCACCACCCCCCTGACCCCCGGCCGCCGATCTCCCGCGACGCGCACCGAGGTGTCCCATCCTGTCTAGGTAAGGAAATTTGCCAGTGGAAATGACGTTGGGTTGGGGGGCGAAAAAGTACCAAAATATGTAGTTTACATAGGGGAGACACATTATCGTCGAGACTCAAAGACCTCTTTTCTAAGACTAGGTAAAATATATTCTTTGGAAACTTTACTCGAACTAGTCTAAACCGGTGACAATACACATGTCATCTAAAAACCGCAACTACATGTAATCGGCTTAAGTCGTTGGTCCATTGGGGGGGGGGGGGAATAGGTGGGACAAGAGGAGCGTGGAATCCGCCCGTAGTGTGGCACATGAAAAGGTGTTTCCAAGTAGTCTTGAATCAAGTGCTCTGAGAAATTAAGAGTACTTGAATCGTCATGTCTAGCGCAAGGTGTGGCCTTATTCGTTGGGTCAGAGTGTGTTTTTTGTACATATTATGCAACAGGGTTGCGATCCCTGCGACGTCATAAAGATGTTTTGGCGGACGACCTTGAAACATCAGGATGCAAAAAAGTGTAAGTAAGTTACCGATACAGTGCACCTACTAGAAGTATTAAAGAGGGACGTCTTTTTTTTGCACCGGCTTAGAAGCAATAAGAGCGCCACCTTTTACGGATAATTTAATCAAACGGTAATTTTACACAAACTACAGTAACTACGCTCTATTATACTCAACATATAAGTCTAATACACACGTCACCACAATGGTACTAGAAATCAACATCAAATACTCTATGAAGCTCCTTAACACAGGTATGTTGGCAAAGTAACATGGTTCCACCAACGAGGCCCGCGACGATAGCGTTAATAAACGACAATACAACACATTGACAAAGTTACACAGAAGAATACGAATGGGGGAAGTGGAGTTACGAATCACAACCAGTGTCGCGTTTGCATAATCAAATTGGTTTAGCGTAGATTGTAACACGTATCTAATGCAATAAAAGGGACGAACGTAAGGTCAGAGTGTAGAGTGTGTGTAGCAGTATTTGTGTTATGGCCTTTGCTGGCTTTTTGCAAAAAATTTATTTTATTATGAAATAAGGCTCACAACGAAAAGAGAAACTCTCAGAGTGATTGCGTAACGTATGTGCAAGCCGACGTAATTTACAATGTATAGACCGGCATCAAGAGAGAAAATAATCTCGCGACTACTTTCGAACGATCGGTTTGTAGTCTTGACGCGGTTTGTAACTTTTCACGCACCTATATGTTATATAGTCGCTAATATGTTGTAGAATGTAAAGGAAAGTGGTGGTATGCAAGAGGAGCGTCATAGTTTTGATTAAGCGAGCTAAATTTAAACTAGGTTAATAAACTATTGCCACGTGTCGACTAATTTCCCTGGTGGATCACCAAATTCCGTACAATACTTAAAAGTAAATAAAAAAATAATCCTAAATTATCCTAGAGATTTCATATAAGTAATGGGGAGCAAAAGAGATGATTATCAATTAATTTCCGCCATCATATTACTATAAAAGTGTAGGGAAGTTCTAAAGTTCTAAAAGATCCAAATAACGTATAAGTGTTTGCCAGCACAATACGGTACTCTTTCTTTTTGCAACCAGCCGTCCAAGGAGTTATCACGTAATGTTCTGTAGCTAGTTAACATTTTGAACACAAATACCTGTACTTTCTACTTCTCTCATTTTCCAAACAGGCTGGTTCCTTTAGTTTGAATGTGTGTTTGGTGGCGTGATCATTATTATTTAGAGTCATTGCGTGCCTATTGATTTGAACACGATCCGTGTATCCATCATTTCCTGGTCTTCTCTAAAGAAGAGGGACCAATGAAAACGTTGTCATGTTGCCGTTGTTCAGCATGGAAACATTCATTAGCTAACAATGACATTATTGTTCTATTAATATAAAGGGAGGTCAGGTACTCTTTAAAACAGCTGTTAGTTATGGGTACTTTTTACTTAAGTACATTTCGAAGCTCGTACTCCTTTACTAAAGAAGTTTAGTCAGTACTTCTACTTTAGTGAAGGATGTGTGTTTTTTTGCCTTCTCTGTTTATTACCAGTTAGGTTTACACGTACGAGGAATTTGACTTGATGTCATGGTGCATACAAAAAAATAACATTAAAAGACATTTAAAATAATAAAGAATATAGTCAAATATAGCTGTATTTACATAGAAATAGAATGGAATAAAATGAAATAAAATATGGAATACAATTCTGCAGTAATAAAAAAAGATAACAGATATTGTGTACATTGTGTGTATTGATGTCAGGTAATCTTGAAATCCTTTATTCTAAGTAATTTGGTCACTTTTATATCCGTTCTGCTATTTTTTACTGTCACCATCTACTGATTTGGGAAATATTTTTCATGACATCCATTTTCTATGACTTCCATTTTCTGACGCTCACAATTAATAGTTGGTTGGAGTCTTCGCTTCTTCAGATAGTAAGATTTGTTTTACATTTCCCATCATGCATTGCTGCGACTTACCTTCACCGTGTTGTTGACCACCATGTTGTCCAGACGCTCGACGGCCTCCCAGAGCGCTGCCGTGTCTGAGGACTGCATCAGTGGGCGGCGGGTAGACATGGAGGGAGGAGAGGGGAGATCCTGATCCTGGTCCAGGTCCTGGTACAGGTCCTGGACCAGCTTCAGCTCCGTCAGGGTGGCGTTCATGGCCTGTAGGCTGACCTGTGATCAGAGGTAATTAAAGTTTAAAAGTCTCAAAAATGCTACAACTTCTGTCACAAACTGGATGAATGTGAAGTATTTTGTTAAAGGAGGATGAAAGCGTAATTAAGGAGCACTATTGGAGTGACTTTGATGGTTATTGGACTCAGGATTAATTCATTTGTATGCCCGATGTATGAAGAAATTAAAGGACGGCACAAGTGGAAACAATTCACAAAGGGATTAAACTGTTTAAAACACATGCTCAAAGTAAGCCGGTGTGTTTATGTGGATTCAAAAGTCATAAATAATCTACAAAGGTTGGGAACCACTGTTCTAAGTGAATATCTTATTTGGCAATAAATATAGCCTTCATTCAGCTTGGAGCTGTCGCTGGGGTACACTGACCTGCAGCATCTTCTGGTTTCGCTTCAAGTTCACGTCGATGTCCGTCTTAAAGTTGGTGAGGTTGTAGTGCAGCATTGCATGCTGGGAGTGCAGCCTGTGCTCCATGTGGCTCCGCTGGTCCTCTAAATGCCTCTGGACCTCCCTGATGTGATCCTCCAGTTTGGCCTCCAGGCGTTGCTCCGTGGCCTCGTCCAGCCCAGGGTTATCTTGGGGCTCCGCCAGTATCTCGTCCCGCAGAGGGAGGCTCTTCAGCTGGGCCACGTCCCGGGCCAGGTCCCCCACCTGCCGGGTCAGAAGCTCCAGGGAGCGGTTGAAGCCCTGGAGGAGCGGCTGCAGCTGGGACAGGATCAGCGCCACTATTTGGGGGGTGGAGGGGGCATCCAGCTCATCTACAACCAGAATAAAAACTAATGAATACATATTTCATCATGCTAATTACACGGATAGTTACTTATTTTCCATCAACCAGTCTTTTTTCACTGCAACACCGTTACCGTGTTCCATTCAGTGTTTACTATTTTCTCTCTTCTTCTGCTGATTTCTCTGATGTGTCTTTTAACCACTTTCCTTCTCTTACGCTATTTTCTCTTTCTGGTTTTTGTTTGGTTTTCTTTACTTGGAATATGTTCAGCAAGCAGGTATCGGAAGTTTCTGGCTCTCCAAATACATATAAATAAATATTCCAAAAGTATTCCATGAAAAAAATCTACTGCAGACAAAAATACTATGAATGGACTGTGGTTACCTTTACTTATTATATTATAAGTGAACGTGTCTGCCTTATAGGTCACCGGTTTGTTGTTAATTACAACCTTAGTTCTCTGGATTTCTGTTTGCGTCCTGTTGTTCCCGTTCCTGGAACAAGTCCATTTTATTTCTATCTTGGACTTCTGACCTATTGTACTCTGAATTTTTCGGCATTTTTTGCCAGTTATTTATTTTTGAACTGCTCTAAATAATCTTTTTGTACCTTGTTACATTAGTCTGTTCTCCGGTATTCTGCATACATCAACCATAAAAAGCAGGAGAGCAGGGGATTAACTATTGAAAGATTATTATAGATTTAAAAAAGTTCTCTTACTCATGCTCTTAACTTTTACTTCCTACGACCTGTTCTTAATTTAGTTTGTCCTAAACACAGCCCTGCTCTGGGGAACCACTCAAATTACAATTTGCTAAAAAGCCAATAAAGTTTTTTGTCCAATAATTTCCAAAATAAACTTCCTCCCCAATTTTCACCAGTCCCCAGAGACATGCATGCATTTAGCTTGCTGTATTTGTGTTTGACAAGGTCTACATGTAAAGTCACCATATTAGGATTCCTCCTTGAAACTTGATGAATAATGTATTTCTAATTCTGATTTGTATACACACACCCACACTCACAAAAAAACTAAACTAATCCTCACACACTCCCTGCTGATTCATGGCTCTCCCGGGACCCGTAGTTTGTGGCTCTAAAAAGGCTTTCCTAACCGGGAATGTAAACACAGCACAGCCCTCCGCCTGGGAAACACTAAAACAACACCAAGGTTTCCAAAAACACTGATGTTGATGAGTTTCCATCAGGACAGACAGTCAGATATTAGATACATTCATTTCTGTTTGTCCAGGAGAGAGGGTTGGACTACCCGGAGGCATACTCCCAACAAAAAAACCAAAACAAAGTCATGCAAAAACCCTGAGAGGCAAATAAGGACAAAACAATTACTGTGTTGTTGACCAATTTTCCAAGTTTGATAGTTTTATCCCCCGTTTTTTTCACATGTAAAATAGGTTGGTAAAAAGGATAATTTATTGTTTTTCTTTTAGTAACAATTTTTCTGTGGCAGGTGAAATTATCTTTTTATGTTTTTGTGGTTGTAATACACATTTTGGCCACAAGAGGCTAACGTGCAGCACTAACCCATGTTCTGAAAAACAAAAATGATCCATATTACATTTTATTGCATGCCCCCTAAGTGGACATACATATACTTTATCTAAGTGAGATACGGTATGTGAAAATATTACCTTGTTTCCACAGATGACAAAATAAGACAAACTTAGAAGAATTCTTCGGGCAAAACCTTTTCAATAAATACATCATAAACTGGAAAAGAAATGCAGGCAACCTGTTCCAAAACTATTCAGATCAAAGTGAAATCACCAGATTTTTTTTCTCACTTGTCACTTTTGCGTTTTCAGACAGATTTGGACGGGGTCAGGAATGTATCATGGAACTCAGGGGTCCCCACCGGTACAGAAAAACAAACAAAAGTGTGTATTTGCCTCAGGTCACTGCTGTCACTCTGGAGACACAGTCCAGACACACACACACACACACACACACACACACACACACACACACACACACACACACACACACACACACACACACACACACACACACACACACACAGACACA